ATATATATATATATATATATAAAATGTATAATATGTAAGACAAAATTCTAGGTCAACAATGTATATAGACAGATCCTTGGGCTGTGTTGCAAAGACACCTGTCCGTACAATGAAGTTGTCTTTTAAGGGGACTATCCAGAAAGCAAACTTCTAGTTGAACAGGGCTGATTTAGAGTTATTTGAGGGTTATATGTGTGTGTGGGGGGGGGGGGGCATGTTTCCACAATTTTCTTTATTCAAAATTTCAAACCTACAGAAAAGTGAAGGAAGAGTGACGTGAGCACTACTATATGCCACTCCCCTATCACTTCACTGACTATTAATAACTTGCCCCATTTGTGAAAAGGTTCATGACACACGAAGAGAAAAAGGGGTGACTGGCATGGGTTGTGGGTAGGAGCTGGTGAACTTCTCTACTGCCCCTCCTTCAAATCATAAACACACTGGGATGTTCACAACTCGGTGAATGTGAACATCAGAAAGAAAAGAAATCTACAGCAAGGCTGGAAATGGTTGCCTGCACCTGTAATCCCAGCACTTTGGGAGCCTGAGGTGGGAGGATTGTTTGAACCCAAGAGTTCAGGACCAGCCTGGGTAACATAGTGAGACACTGTCTCTAGAAAGAAAAAAAAGAAAAGAAAAAAAAAAATTTAAAAGTTAGCCAGACAACAGCACATGTCTGCAGTCCCAGCTACTCAGGAGGCTGAGACAGGAGGATCATTGGAGCCCAGGGATTGGAGGATACAGGGACGTAGTGAGCTATGCTCGCAACACTACACTCCACTCTGGGTAGCAATGCAAGACCCTATATGAAAAAGAGAGCGAGAGAGAAATCCAAAGTAAAACGTATTCAAAGAGCTTTACTTCCTTTTACTCTTCTCTACTGCGACCCTGCTGAAGACTCAACAAGCCACCAAATATAATTTTCAAGAGTGATTATTATTTATACTCCATATTTTCACATAAAACCCCTAATTTACCTCTTTGGAAATTTTATTTAAAAGTATTAACTTTTTAAAAAGTAGGCTATATAGCTATTTCTCTCTCTTATTTTTACAAGTTCCATATGGTTTTCTTCTTTTTCACAGTTCAGAATATGTTTCTTTTCTTTGTGCTTAAGCCTCTGAAATACAGTGATCAAGTGTTAGGCTTTGAATCTTGCTATTTTGTGGATATAGTTATAGCTTTTTAAAACAACTATAATAATAATTAATAAGAATAATGAGTGGAGCAAATGTTATGTGCTCAGTAAACTGGAGTGAAGGTTTCAGAGTTCAAGCTGAACAGGGAACAAGACTGCAGCTCAAGCACCAGGTGAGGGTAGAGGCAGGCAGAGCTCTGCCCGGACACTGAACTTTTCAGAGGTGGGACTTACCACTTCGCCCTTCAGTCCAGCAGCAATTTCATGGAGTCCAAGAAGCCATCGTTGATAAGGAATGCACAGTATGAGGAAGCACGGCAGAAAGAAGGGGAGAGGAGAGAAGTACGGAAATCAGTTCAAGCAGGAAATTAAAACTGACAGGCTTAAAATTCCACAGTGTCCCACAGTTACACGGTCAGTTAACACAAGAAGAACTAAAGCAGAGTTAGGAGCAGTCACAACTACCACTCCAGGTTCCAGATGGCAGAATTTAAGCAACAGGTGACTTTAAGAAAGGGATTTCAAAAAATTTACTCTAAAAGCCAGCATTATAAATGCCCAACTCATCATGAATAAGTAAAGGTTAATGCCAAGCAAAGAGAGAAACAGAATTTTCTTCCTTTGGTATTTTTAAAGTTATCTATTTACTCAGAAGAAAATTTCACTAACTAACAACTACACTTTGTTGTGTTTTTCTTTTTTGTAATGTGACTGACTACACAGAATATACGGTTGAAGCACTAAACAAGTTTCACTCTATTGAGAATTTTACATAGGAAATAAGATGACTAAGGGGAGAGGACAGATGTGTCATGCCTTACACGTCCTCATATCTAGGAGCAGAAAAGACTGCAAGCCTCTCAACCACATTAGTTTTTAAAATACAAAGATCTCACTCAAGCCATTTAACATAAGTAAGATGAATTTGGTGCCATCCTTACAGCAGGCTTGAGAGGTCTAAAAACTTCTTTTTTGTCTTCAGGTTTTTTCACTGCATTTTCAAGGCGCTGAGATGGAGAGCCCTCAGACTTGGATGATGCTGTTGGGTTCAAAAAAGACAAGAAAGGCAGATACATATAAACATACAGAAGCATGTCACAAAGCTGTCTCCTACCCCACCTACTCTATCTGCCCCACTCATGGCAGTCTCCACGTGCAGGTCTGAAATCCAGGGCAAAGCAGGGGCCTAGAAGAGCTCTGGTGTCTTTCTGATTCCCTACTCAAAACCCTCTGTTATCATGCTCCACTTGAAATACGGTTCATAATCAAGGCCTTGTTACCAATAATATAGCAGAGGGAATAGTCACCAGTCAATTATTAAGATTAGCTTAAAATAACCAAGACTGATGACAGTATAGGTCCTAGAGTCCATATTGAAAGAAAGGGGTTCGAATTCTAGCTCACACATTTAGCTGATTAACTTGGATAAGTTAGTCCATGGCATTAAACTATAATAGTAGTAGGCACGTGTAAAACTCTCAAAATTTACTCCTTTATGGTAAAAATCATCATACCAGGGTCATTAACAACCTATACCAAAACATTGTTTTGTGATATGCAGCTATCCACAGACCACAGATCTTTTTTACAGACTAAGAAGGATTTCCAAAAGATCATAGTCCAGGGTCATTATTGGGAAAAGGTAAAGGAAAGGCAGCCTACATCTCACTCTGAAGCGTTCCCCGGAGCCACTCTGAGACCCAGGGTGAGACCCAGGTTGGGATCCTGAATTGCTGGACCCTGAGGAGCTACCACTGCCAGGTCTGGGCACCAGCTTCTCCACTCGCTCCCACAGAAGCCTGGGCTCAATACTGCTGTTAGAGAAGAAAAGGGGAGAAAAGGTAACGCACCTTCCCAAAATGCAGTACCAAATTAGAAACACGTGCATCAACTGATGAGAAAAATGGCCTATAAACAGCATTTAACATTAAATTCACCAGAAGTTATCACGATAGATTCACAGATTTTATCTCAGATATCTTAATAAGCCAAAAATGCTGAGTGATATCCTACCATTAGCACCCTCAAATCTTCCTCAGGTGTGAGGTGCGTTACTATTGTTTGGTCTAGAAGTGCCACCATTTCTGTTGCACCGACAAATTCAGTTCTTAATATTAAGACAACATTCCGCTTCTATAATTACACACAGAATTTTACCTGTTTTTAGGCTATTTTTCTCACCCACCCACTGCTACTCTCAAAAACTGACATCCCTTTGTATGAGCTGTGTTGGAAATGGTATGGAAAATATAGGTTGGGGTGGATTTCCTGCCCAGCATGTTTGCTAGGTAAGATTTGATGGCACGGACTTAGGAACAGAAAATAACACAGTCCACCCTGGTCATCGGCAATACTAAAGGGATCTCTGCAGTTTCTGGGTTATCTATCTGACCACCTTCAAGTTCCCCAGCGGAAGGTTAACTATAGATTCAGTGATGACCAAGTTATCAAACACTCAATATAATGAGCTTTTCTTCCCGACAATAGTGCTAGTCAATGGACAGTTCTAGGATGTCAAAAATGTTTTATATCTGAGCTATGTAATACTGTAGCCAGTAGCTACAGGTAGCTATAGAGCACTTGAAATGAGGCTGGTGCAACTAAGAATGAAATTTTAACTGTATTTCACTTTATTTAAGCTTAAATTTAAGAAGGTTCATGTGGCTAACAGCTGCTGTATTGAACAGAGCAGCTCTAGAATCTAATAAGCGTATTATAAGAGAACTTCCATAAGACCCAACATTTGCCACAGGTACCTATCAGTACAGCAAGCCTTCTGTTGCCCAGGTTGTTACAGTCCCGTGGGTGGTCAACTCACAGAGGTTCTACTGTATTAGTTTACTCATTTATTGCAGTCAGTGACTTTCTTTAGTAACTCACATTATTACGAAAGCCTTACAAGATCCTTTAGATAAAAAGCTCCCTTACATTACAATTCTAGGGCCTCTCCCCTTCCCTGCTATGTCTTCCACTCACTCTTAAAACAAGTAGTTTTAATTTCAAAATGACTCTGATACACATTCAGATGCAAACTCTCTTTTTACTATAAATAAATTTGATAAGATTCATGTTAAAGTATTTTATGGCAGAACATCTGTGTTTATGAGCATTTTCATGAAAATAGACAAGACTGTGGGAGAGACTGCATGGCAAACGTCTTCATCTTCCCCTGTCATTTACCTGGTGGAGTTTCTTTGTCCTGCTTGGCTATTTTGTTGTCCACTGCCCTGCAGTGGGGAATCCCGACGGGATAGAACAGGGGAACGAGATGTTGTTCTCACAGGAACCTTTAGGTAGAAAATATAGCAATTGAATTACTGAAAACAAGAGGAAGAGAAAAGACTTCCCCACCAACACACAGTTCTGCAACAGTCCTAATTACACTGGACTTCCTATTACCAAGGGGCACCCCCCGTCTGTCCTTCCCCCTCCTCCACTGACATAATGTAGAGAGAAAATATATAGTCACGGACATCTAAGGAGCCAGTAAAAACAGCCTTTCTACACTCCTGGGACATTTCAGTGATGTCTGGACTGAAGCTTGGTAGCAGGGGACATATAAAGCATTTTGCTAAGATAATGTGAGAATCAAGAAAAAAAAAGCTCAAAGAAACCAAACAATGGCCTATAAATGGATCAGCAGGAAGCAAAGATTGGCAGGAAGCAAGAAAATATTCAAGAGGAAGCAAATTCCAAATGGAGGAAAAATAATTTAAAATGTGCCCTTTTGTTTAACTTCACCATTAATTACAAAAATAAAACAAGAGAAACCCCAATTTGAAAAGGGAAAAAGTTATTTTCTTGAGATTTCTAATTGTTTTTTCCCTTATAAGATCTTTTCTGAAAGTTTTGATATTGGTTAATGTTGCAAAATAATGTATAGCTTCTGCATAAACTTATAAAAAAAGGTGCTAAAATAAATTATGAATTTGTTCAAGAAGCATATTCTTTGTAGAGTAACTCTGACATTTTATCTACCTTATGTTTAAGTGCAGTAACAATAAAAAGCTAACTGGCCACTGGCTAAATATAACTGCCTGGCTATGGAACTTTCTCCTCACCATAAAGGTTCCTTTGAAATTTCATTGCCCCTTTAATTCTGGTGAAGTCACCAAACCCATAATTAAAATAAATAATCCTTTAAAAAAAATAACAGAAAGGACAAAGCAGCACACATCTGTCTTTCTGCTCCTTACCCTTGGAGGCACCTCGTCACTGTCTGATCTAGACCAAGCCTTTTGGGTGGGGTCAGGCGCCTCCAACTTAGAGTCAGAGCTCTGACTGAGCACCTCACTGCGGGAAGGTGGACATGGGTCCTGAGAACGAAGATGGTGGTGTGCAAATTTGGGAGGAGAAGGGTCACTGAAGGAATGGGATCGCGAGACAGGGGAAACATTGTTCTTGAGAGATGCCAGGTGGGACCACTGTACCTTACAAGAAAACAAAACACAAAACATTCAATGCGTTCTGCATAAAACTGGCTTTTCTGGTCAATACCAAATCCAAAGCAGGAACGGGCAAAGGTGGAATGCAACAGGGGTGGTCAGTGTTAGGTCAGCCAAGCAGTGAACAGGCACACGCTAAGTGAAGAAGCAGTCTGGGAACACAGTGGGCAGAAAAGAACAAATGTACATTTATAAGGAAAACTTTTTTAATAGCCAGACAAACATTACGGATAGCAATAAATGTGAAGGTTTTGGGTTTGTTTGTTTTTTTTTTTAAAAACAAAGAGCCTTGCAGATCCACTAACAGGGAGATGATGTGCTCCATGCACATCCACGTCAAAGCAGAGAGACTGAGAAGCGGGGAGAGGGAAATAACCACACGATAAAGGACGCTGCCAAACATGCACACCTGCCAGCCCCTCCTCACACGGCCTGGCTGTGTGAACCAGACCGAGTAGCACAACAGCACATTTAATGAGCAAAGACAAACCCCTCGTGTTCCGACAGACTGTAAAAGCATGACTTAAAAACAGTTTTTCAAATACACCAATAGTTTTTCTTATTTCTCCCAAGTTTGAAAACCTATATGTCTCCATATACCTTCATACTAGTTATGAAAAAACACTGTGATTTCTTTAAAAATATTCAGTAGCATAGATTTCCTGAATTAACTATCGTTAGTGTACTCTTCCTGTTTGACAATTATTTGAGTCTATCCTGTTGTCTTTAAAATGGGAAAACAATCTCTGGAAAGATCTATAAAATGTTTTTATTAATTATATTTTATTATTTAAATAACTGCCCGATATTGCAGTATACATAATCCTGGCTACATATTCTATTACATCAATGTATTTAATGGAAACTGAAACTACTAAATCACAATTTGTTCAACCCTTTCACATGCAGGATAGAGAGTGAGGTCCAGGTATATAATTTCTGTGATTTACAGGTGAGATTCACATAATCCCAGCTACTGGTACAACCTAAGACTTCTAAAATGTTTAAGATTTTCAGAAGGAAAACATGCAACTGAAAGCATTACCTGAAATTATAATCAAAAAAATGAGTTTTAAAATAAGAGTATGATATGAGAAAAGTCTCCCCCGGCAGAATGTTACACAGTTGTACATTTTAGTGAAAAGCAACTTTAGAGTAGAAGGAGAAAAGGGAGACTATTTCCAGGTGTGACACAAATTAATCATAAATATAAAAATTAGTCTAAATAACTTAATAACTCTTATTTTCTAAAATGTCAACAGCCAAATAGATAAAGATTCTCCATTTATGATAAGTTTAACTTACAGGCAAAAAAAAAACCAAAGAACTTTTTTCCTCTACTCTTCATCAAACAATTCAAAGTTGTTAAACCTATGTAAGTGTGATCAAACCTATTCTAGTAGTCTCTTTTCTCATCCCTTTTTTCATTCTTTTTTTTTTTGGCCAGGGCAGGGTTTGAACCCACCACCTCGGGTATATGGGGCCGGTGCCCTACTCTTTTGAGCCACAGCTGCCGCCCAACCCCCTTTTGTCATTTTTAAATCATTTACCATTGCCTGCTTTTCTCTCTTTTTTTTTCTTTCTATCCCATATTCTCTGGAGTCGCCTATGTGCTGGCAGGCCAGCTCTCCTACTACTCAAGATGCCACTGATCCCAGGTGAGCACCTTCTCACCTCTCCTATACCTGTGGCATCTGTCCTGGTTCTTCTATCTTATTTAACTCTCTCTAGACTGCAGTTCCCTGTCATCCAGGGGATTACTGCTGTAAACCACATTCAAATTCTCAACGCAGTTTGTTTTATAGAACACCATAGCTGCTTCTGTCACAAAAACATCAACTTTTGTCCCCTTACACATGCAAACACCAGTGAACAAACAAACTCAAGCTTAAGAACTTGTCCCCAATATTCCGGATTACATAGGGGGATGGGGGAAAATATCTAAAAATCATTAACTTTCAGCAAGAGAGCAGGAATCAGTATTTTGAGGATTGTTGAAATCTCTGACCTGGGTCACCTTCACTGCCTACTCTCTCCCAGGGACAGGGCAGCGGGTTCTCTTCCAGTTGCACAGCACCCAGCCCAGCAGTCCCCCCCAACTCAGACAAGGTTTAAAATGCTGTGACAGACCCAAGGAGGTCACGACCTTTGTTCTGACCTACCTCAAAGAAATCTACATCTCATCCATTGGATTTTAACTTTTTGTATACACTTTGAGAATGAATAAAGGCTCCATTACCCCAAAATGTGCACATCTGGACAAATCAAAAAATTCTGTATGAAATTTCAGGGTCATTATCAGCTCTCTAAGGCCCACTCATGGAAGAGGCCAGGAGCCAGGGACCACAGGGTGAGCGTTTACTTTCTAAATGCTTGGGAGAAAATGTTCTGGTCCTCCTTTTTTGTGTTCATAATACTAATACTCTAAAAATTAAACTAAAAAATATTCATGTTAGAAGAAAGAGGCGCTTAATGACGTGGGAAGCAAAAAGAAGTCACTCACTGGACATACTACTAATAAGTACAACAAAAATCTCAAAAAAGAGAAAGATCCTTCTTTATCAACTGGGTGTCCTCTTCAGTCACTCCTGCTAATCTTGTCTCTTTTTAAACATGGTGACAAACTAAACTACGACTGTCACAAGCAGGCCTGGGGCTCGGCAAGCCATTGCACAGGACTCCTCTACCACAGCAAAGCTGGCTGTTGCTACCTGTGGCTCCGCTGGTCTCTGCAGCGCGGGATGCACAGACTCGGAGTTGCCATTGGAAAAAGACTCTGATCGGGAAGGCACTGGTGGCTCCAATACTCTGCCTGTCTGCTTAGACTGGGCTTCAGGGGAGCTGTGGTTAGTTTTCCTAAATCTATCTTCCACCTGCATCAGAGAATTAGAAGACATAAGCCAATGTTAGTAGGGGAAAAGCAGAGATATCGAAAGAAGGTCTGAAAGTGGAAGAACTCTATAGAGTTTTCTCTTCAGCTACAAGAAAACAAAGGGCAGTTGGGGAGGAGAAAAGGTAGGTAGAACAGGGCTAGAATTTGATTCACAAGAAAGAAAATATTAACAAAGATAAAATTAAGCAAGGCAGCCTCTAAGGTTTCCTTGTTGCTTAGAATTCTAGGGTTGTATATGATGATAAACTAGAAAAAAATTAATCTGTCACAACCAACAGATTAAAAGACTATCATCACAAATCCATAACACATTTAGTGTCACCAAAAATAAATCCATTCCAGAACAAACAGAACACTTGTTCCTGGAATCTGCCCTGTGCGAAGACACACACGGTGGACGGCTACCACCTGTGGGCTCCCCGCCTGCCCCACATCCCTGAGCACTCACTGCCTGCTGCCACTCCCTGCTTTGGGCTCTGGCTAGCCCCAAAGTACTAATTCAGTGACAAATTGTGACAGCTGGAAAGCTGGAAAACTGGACTATAGGCACACTGCAGCCTCACACTAGTTCAGAAGAAAATAATTAACCAAACCACCCTTTCTCTCACTTTTGTTTAGTTTAGCTTCCAGTTCTTAAGAGATTTGACACCCTGGTCCTTAATGGAAAAAGCACTATCTAGATTTGGCCAAGTCCCTCTTTTCTTCCAAACCTCAACTTCTCAGCTAAAAAACAAACACGGTGGATCATTAGTGACCTCTACAGCTTGTTCTTGCATTGAGGAGTTATCGTATTACTTCCCAGCAGCTAACATGAGGAAGGAGAGCAGATACCTCTCGAGCTCTGTCCACAGGCTCGTAGTGGGGTTTGGGCTCAGGAACGTGATAGCTTGGCTTGCTCCTCTCCTGCTGTGGCGGTGGCTGCTGCTGCGGGTGTGGCCTCCTGTGGTCGTGCTGTAGAGACAGGAGATATGCTTGTTCTTGTTGCAACTGCCTCTGGAGCCTCTCTGCCTGCCGGTGCTCCTCCATCTCCCGCCATCGGCACTCCTTGGAGAGGGAGAGGATAACACTGAATCTATGGGACACTGGAGAGCTCACCTCTTCTCTGGAATTCTTCAACTTTCTTTTTTTTTTAAGATAATATATTTCCCCCCCTTTTTTATAACAAAAGAAAATGACCAGGATTTTAAATAGCACATTACCTGTGGAAAAATCTGCCAGCTGTTGCTAGCCACAATACCATTGGACAGAGTAAGAGAGAATTCAATTAAATGCCGGTTTCGGTGATATATATACTACGTAAAAATCCTATGGCATGTGCTTTGAGCCTGCAGCCCTCAGCATTCTAGTTTGTTCACTGAATGCCAGGTTCTGTTCAAAACCTTGTCTATCTACCAAACGAGAACAATTAATTTATTAATGGGAAATAAACAAATAAAAACCACCATGCAATGTGTCCCAAGCAGTATGACCATAAAGGACATTCCTTTTGAGCCTGGTCGCCCACAGCAAAACCAAAATGGTCTGGTGACCACCATAGCTTGCCCAACTCAGGGGAGGGACACACGAGCCCTGACGCTATGTAACAAGACAGAGGCGGGGTGTTACCAGTAACATGGCCTGCTCCTGGAGCAGCTGCTGCTGAAGGATTTCCAAGTGCCGCTGCTCCTCTTCTAGCTGTCGCCTGATATACTCCTGTCACACAGAAATCACCCAGCAATCAATTGACCCAAAAGGAAAGCATCAGAACCACCTGCATGGAGCACCAAGAACCATTTGCTCCAATCATTTTTAGTAATAATTCACTCAGTGGTGAACAACTAAAAAAAAAATCTATTGCTAAAAATTTTTCAAGAACTTTAATCTGTCCCATAGTTAAGACCTGAAGATGTACATTCCCCTGATACACATGAAGGCTTCTGGAAGTATTTCTGGTAGAACACAGCTGCTACATACAGATGCAGAATTTAGGAGGACGCCATTCCTCCAAGGTCAGTAGACTTGAAAGAAATTAAAGAGTTTAATTAAAGGACCAGAGGACCCTAATTAGCAAATACCCGCTTCCTAGTTACAATTTATAATAAGTATGGATCACCAATTTTTGAAACCTAAAATCAAAGCCTATTTTATATTAACATACAACAAACATAATTTGTGCTTTCTCTGGTGACTCAGAAGGTACCGGGAATGACTACATTCTAAAAGTCATGATCACCTGACTCAGGCAACTCCCTGCAAACAAACAGGCTCAGGCTCTTCACGATGAGCTTGTGGGGTGCGAGACAAAGAGAACTTGAGAGAGAGAAGTAAGGTAGGTATAAGGGTAGTTTTTCTTTTCAATAAGGAGAGAACGAACAACCTTAACCTTTATAACAATGAAAACAGGCCAACACATCCACAGTATGTCACGCGGAGAGCTATGAGCCCCAGCTTGACACTACATGCATAATAACAGAGATCTCAGGAGGTCTGGCTCTACCTCACCTTGACACCACACGCATGTAAACAGAGATCTCAGGAGGTCTGGCTCGATCCCACCTTGACACCACACGCATGTTAACAGAGATCTCAGGAGGTCTGGCTC